ATTTTGTTTTAATATTTTTGTTTCTTTCTCTCTTTTTTTCTGCCATTTTTTTCGTTGCTGTAGGATGATATTGAAAGAGCACATAAATGTTTACAACATACGGCCAAAATGTGTCAAAAAATGATGAAACATTCATTTTTTGATAATATTTCTAAATGGATTGTTGCACCAAATTATGATAAATATACTGATGGTATGTATTATTGGATTTTTTATTTATTTATTTAAAAAAGTAAAAACCCAAATTTTTTCTTCGTTGAGCAAAATGTGCGAATGATAATCAATTAGTTTTGTGAACGAATTTCAGATTAAGAAATTGAATTTTTTGAATTCAAAATCAAACAGAAAAAAGGATTCGGAATGTTAACCTAGACAACAGTTTGAGGAATTCTATGATAGAATCTAATCATTAATAATTATCGATAATTTCTTTCTTGTTCATTCATTATATATGAATGACCCAAATTCTTTTTTATTGATTGATTTATCCGCGGATGAAATTTTATTGATGAAAAAACAACAATCAATTTTGATGATGATCATCTTGATAGAATATAATAGGACAAAAACAAACAAACATAAACAAAAAACCAAAAAAAAAAAATCTATTTTCGAATCAATGAACAATTTCATAACAACACTGAATGAATGAATGAATGAAACCGAGAAACCAACCCAAAGGAATTCATTCACAATAATGAAAAAAAAATATACAAAGTTTTCATTACGAGAAATTGATCAATATAAATGATCAATATTAATTTTTTTTTTTATTTTTACTTCAAATCAGTGGAAATATTTGCCGAAAGTTATTATGCACAACAATTGGCATTATCGATTGCATTGTATGCATTTGAAACAAATAGTGTTTTTACATTGATTAAATTGGCCTATCATTTACGTGGTTTAGTACGTAAACATAAGTAAGTTTTGCTCTTTGAATTTTGTTTTCAATTTTGTAATTTGAAAAAAAAATTCTTTAATCCAAGTGAATTATGGCAGGTAAAAAAACGTCGTAAATTATGGCAAGATGAACATGCACGGTTATATTTTGAAGCACATATGCGTTTTGCTAACGGTATGATCAATGTTGTCATTAGCCATACACCACCGAAATTTTTGCGTATTATGAATTTTCTTGGTTATAAGGGTACTGAAACAATCGGTTTAAATGAAATGAATCGTGTTGCATTTGATTTGAATGCCGGTTATTGGACAAAAATGGCACAATTAACACTTATTTATTATTGGGTTTATGGTAAACCACATGGTGAAAATGTACCCGATGATTTATCATTATGTAAAAAATTAATTGAAGCTGAATTACAAATGTTTCCACAGGTTTGTTTTTTTATTTCTA